GGGCGGATAGGACGAGAGCCGCCGACTTCGCTAGAAGTGTCTGCCACGGATTGATCGTCGAAGCTTGGTGTTGCAACCGTCGCCCTGGGGAATTGAACTCGGACAGAGTAGCGGTCCTGGAGTCTGTTGACCTGGCTTCCCTTCTGGCCGATAAGTTCGCGGTGGTACTGTGCGGGGATCTTCAGAACGTGAGTTGTCTCATCCTCCAGTTTCTTTCCAAGATTGATGATGCGGGCTTTGGCAGCATCCGCTTTAGCCTTGGGCCCTTTGACTTCAACCTTGCCACTGTCAACCTTGATGTCAACATCGAATTCCTCGCGAAGTTTGTTGATGTTCTCGCCTCGCTTGCCAATGAGGAAGTTTGCGAATTTCTGAGGGAAGTCGAACGAGATTGTGTAGCCTCTTTCGAGATCATCTTTCTCCTGCTCCACTACGAAGTCCTGCAGCTTTGAGACCAACTCATCCACTTGACGGGAAGGACCGCGTAGAGATACGTCACACTTATCATTTCGAGCATCTCCAACGAGAGCACGGACAGGGATCTGGTCATCACCCTTTGCCTGCTGTTCGCGGGCGATGAATTTGCGCACCTTCTCCTGGTACTTAGCAGGAACTTTAACGGACTTAGAAACGATATCATTCTGGTCTCCCAGTAGCTGCGTAAGGAAATCCTGCGCTTCATGTAGGGACTTTTCAAAGGTGGCCACCTCGGTCGGAGATGGCCTCTGGCGCGGAATTTCAGGCAATGAGTTCGTAGCCGACGGTCCTTCATAGACTAGAACAACATCGGAGCTATCCAGCTCATCCGGAATGAGAAGATGGACACCGTAATCATTTCGGAGCTTGGCGAGACTATGGGACTCAAGGTACGGGTGGTAGTAAGGATCGACGGAGACATAGCGAAGCCTTGCGGGAGGGTGAGCCTGGACCAAGTTCATGATGTCAGACCGTGCACGGATAGTATTCTTGCCGTCCCTGGAGTAAACCTCCCAGGTCACAGGACCGTCAGCGCTAGGTGGGAGTGCAATACGAGCATCGTACATCTGCTCCAATTGCCGGATGATCTGTCGTTGCTGAAGGTACCGGGTGAGGGCACGTGCGTGTGCATGAGGTCCGGCAGGAGCGTTGGGATGTTGACGGGACAAGTCAATGCTGGCCATTTGCATGCTCGTAGCAAGCTCCATGGCACGATTGATACCAGCCTCGATGCAGTCCTGCGGTCCGGTGATGGTAAGAAATTCACTGTCATCCGATGCCGGTGGTAGCACAATAGCACAGCCCGTATCAGCAAGGAAGTCATGAAGAGCATTGGCTCCATCCCCGAGGATGAATTGGTGCTGCCCGCGGTTGATGGCCAGCTGTCGAAGGGTCAGTCGCTGCTGAAGATCGGCGGCAAGCCTCTCGATTTCGGCGCGAGCTTCCTGCGCAGCAGTGCGCTCTCCAGTGATCTGAATGTGCTTATCAGGAGCTGGGACAAACTGCACACGTCCGGGTTCAGCCTCCTGCGGGGGAGGCTGGCTCTGCCATGTATCATACCGAGGCACATGCACTTGAGCCTTGGTACGCTCCTCGATAGCTTTCAGGTTGGCATTATGTGCGCCTGCAATGAAGGGGAAAAATTCGGCCGGAACAGACTTGAGTCGCAGGCTCATGTTGGAGGCCCGCTCCTTAACGATAGCTTCAATTTCCCGGCGTGCCATCTCTGCCGCAACGGCGTCACCCTCAATCAGGACGTCGATCGTGTCGCTGTCGTCTTCGTCATCCTTTGCGGCCGAGTCATCGGCGCGGGGCACTTGGACGCGTGCACCCGTTCGTTGTTGAATGTCTTGCACAATTGCACCTTGTCGGCCGATAATGTGGGCTCGGGCGGATGTTGGGATGGGAACGCGGACCGATTGCTACATCCTCTCGAGTTAACGAAAACGAGCAACATCAATTAAGATATCATGGCATACCTTGGATCCTACTTGCTGTGCAACCTCCTTGAGAGCCTGTCTTACGGACTCGACTGAGCCTTTGCCCTCAAAGATGATCGAGCCTCCGGGGCCGCCCCGCATATCGACATTTGCCTTTGAGCGCCTAGAGATGTCACGGAGAATATCCTTCAGGGGCTTCTTGAGCTGTGCTCGCGGCATCATCTGAGAGGGTGCTAAACGAAGCTGCTCCATGTGTTTGCCGGGGAGACTCATGATTCTAGGAACATCGCCGGCTGCTGATCGATAACTGGTTAGAACAAGCCGCAGTACCAACGGGGCGACAGAACAACATACTCGCTTGTGGGCGGCCAGCGACACCGTTGGCAAGAGCAGCAGCGGCAGAGGGCCTGGCACCCCAAGTAGCTGCAGCTGGTGCCTTGGCCTTCGGGCCACTTCCCAAGGCGGGGAACAGCTCCTCGGAACGGACATCAAAAGCAGGCGACTTTTTAGGAGCCGCATTGGGAGCCGAGGGTGTAGCGGCGACTGCTTCCTCGACTGCAGCTGTGGGTTGGGCGGGAACAGTCTGCTGGTCCTTCCCCGATGAAGATGAAGGGGGCTGCAGCAGATCTTCTTCGTCCACGGTATCCTCCACCGTCACCTTATGCGCCTCATTGCGGGCATGCTCCTCCTCCAGCATGGCTGCAAGGGACTTGGCCCCACCGTTAACATCACTGCTCTGTACTTGAGAAGCCATCATCAAATATCGTCAATTGACACCGGAAATGAGAATTATGTACTCGAGATGGGAGGGAAAAGAGAAAGTCTAATAGGTAGGCCTTTTCGATGCATGGATTAGTATGTTGATCTCCGTCTTGGAAAAAGGCATTACAGGAACGTTGAGCATACCAGAGCAAAGATAGCACCGCTAATAAACAAAGTGTAAATGAAACTGACAACGAGTTTCTAATGATATTGGTAGCCAATATTGTATCCAAAATGTTTGGAAAAGAATAGTAGAGACCAATTGCTGATCTGTGGAGGCTAAGAGAAAAAGGGACACTGCATCACCAAATTAGCGGGGATGAGGAGAAATAAAAAGACAATTGAGAGGAAACGTGATCAAGAGAAGAGAGGGGAAGAGAAGAAGGTGAGTGAGGAGAGAGGAGGAACGAGCAAGAAAGGGAAGTCAATGCTCGTGCTTAACGGGCAATGATGACAGTGATGATCAGAATAATTTGGGGGGAAGAAGAGGAAGAGGACAGACAGCTCTTCGCGGAAAGCACGACTAGTGGAAAGCCGGGGGTGAATTCCTGTTCGGGTCGAGGGCGGCAAAGAGCCTTGTCTCTTCCATCGGTCGTACTGGACATCCAATATTGTCTGCTGTTTGATTATATATACTTCTATGGAGCTAACTCATTTCTGAGTATTGGATTTCATTCTACTGAGTATTAATGAGCTGACATCAATCAAACCTCTCAATTGGGTGTTTGGGTACTGAATTGCGTGTGGTTACAGAACATGTTAGCCTCAGGCTTGCGCCCAGAGGTTGTGTGTGCCAAGTCCACCTTCTCCATGATCACAAGAGGGAGTGGGATGGCGAAAAAAGCATTGGTGTAGAGCACTTAGATGGCAGGAACTCATTAAGGTAGGATATCTCATGCCATGCTCTAAGGCAATCTTCTGTGTTTATGTGAATCTATGCAGGTCCAGAATTACTCATCAGAACCAAGGACTGGTTGTAAATGGACCTTATATATATCCCCAACATCTGCTCATTGTTCACTGGATAAGGTTATCAGATATAAGAATGAAAGTTGATAGACAGGTATGCATTGCTGGAATCCCAGTAAATAGATAGATAGCCTACGAATGGCTTTGCAGCCCCTGCCCATCCAAGATACTAAACATCGTAATCACTTACCTCAATCTTCCATACATATCTTGATACTTTACATCTAATAGGCTGAAGCAACAGCAAATCAGTCAATTCCTCTCCCTAAGCCATCCAACAAGGCTAAAAAGAAAGTTCGGCTTGCCAAAGCTTACCTTTATCTACCACGAGGATCATGTTCCCTATACTCATCTAATGCGGGAAGTGGTAGCACAAACAGGTCCATAAGGCGTTACCTACAGAATAACTTATGGACAGCTTCGACGAGCACAGGAAGGGGAAGCATAAAACATAAAGAGTACCCATCGACGGGTGTATTAGACTGTCGTAATCAACAACATAAATTATCAGTCTAGAGAGGTAGACAGCGGTTATTACCACTGTAGTCCCCGACGACCGACACTGATTAGGGGGTCTAAACCTGCACTTCATGCTGCATGGGACTTCCTGGGGCATCGTACGGTTCGTGTCATATGCTGTCCTATATATAACAAGGTAGATCGCTTTTATCACTGAATATCACTGACGATCAACTTGCTTCTCGAGTTTCCCAGGGAATGGTACTCTGATCCATCCTTCAAGTTTTCTCCGACCCACAGCCAGCGTTGTCGGTTCATCACGGAGACGTGCTCCCGAAGGCCAAGCCAGGCCCGGTGCGAACCAAAAGCTTAAGTAGAACAGGCAGGTGATGACAAAAGTTACTTGCGTAGACTGACCAGAAAAAGTTTGCCTTCGCTACCAAATTTAACTCAATTGCTGTCCCCTGATTTCTGAACACTCAACCTCAAGAGCGTATCTCACGACAATCTAGGTCGGCACTCAAGAGTGGCGCGAAACAGTGAAAAATGGGAATAGTGCAATCCCGGTTGTTCGGACTTTGGAGGCTAGACTTGATGGATCATGGATTTACTCTGGGGCACTGAGAGACACACAGACTGTGGTCTCGTGGAACGGTGGAACATGGACGAGATAAGGTCACTAGCCCCACAAATCGTCGTCCAATCTTCGCGGGAAAAAAATGGGAAGATAGCAGAGATTGACCTCCGCGTCGCGAACGGGACAGCCGAAGCTAAGCTCACTCCCCGATTTAAAAGGTCGTCACGCCCGTTCAGTGTAAAGGGTAGAAAAAAGGCTTGTGTGGAAGGCTGTCTTGTCGCTTCCTGTCAATTCCAAGCTGCCTATCTACCCTCGACATGGATCCACGCGGTCTCGATGCAGAAGAAAAGGCTCACCCTGAGCCAACCTCCACCCCAGTGGAAGAACAAGAGCCAGTCAAACAGCGTGGCTTGCTCTCTCGAATTCACTACTATGAAGAGGTGCTGGATCACAAGTTAGGGATTGAATCACACAGCCTTGACAGGGTTCTTCCTGAAAATCGTGAACCTCCTAACTCCCTGGCAATGGCTTTCATGTGGGCGTCTGCTACGATGAACATCAGTTGTTTTAGCACAGGGTTCTTGGGAAAAGAATTTGGATTGTCTTTGGGACAGACCATTGCTATCACCATATGTGCCACCTTCCTTGGTGCCGCTGTGACGGTTCGCATACCTTTCCTATTTCTCTGGATCTTCCTAGAGCGATTTGCTCTTCCCCTTTGGGTTTCCAGCGGCTTACATTTACCCCTTAGGGTTGGTGCGCCACTATGGGCCCTGGTACTGGTCTTCGTCAGGTTGCGATCTCTAGATATTCTTTAGGATATTATCCTTCATCCATTATCGCTGCGTTGAACGTGATCGAGCAACTCGGTTGGGCATCTGTCAACTGCATCACTGGCGGTCTCGCCCTCAGCGCCGTTTCCGATGGCCGCGTGTCGATTGCCGTGGGCGTGGTCATTGTAGCGTGTGTCAGTTTTCTCTTCAGTTTCGTCGGTCTCAGGGGAGTCCTGATGTATGAGCAATACGCTTGGATTCTATTCTTCATTATTTTCATGATCATCTACGGCGAGTCTGCACATCGAGCCAACCTAGCGGCCCCTGCTACAGTTACGGGTCTCACCAGGTCAGGAAATGCTCTGAACTTGATCGGTGTGATCTACGGCTCCAGCGCATCCTGGAGCTCCATTGTCTCGGACTTTTACGTCCATTACCCGGTCAACACCCCCAAGATCAAGATCTTCCTATACACCACTTTGGGGATCACGATTCCAACCTGTATCGGAATGCTGCTTGGTGCCTGCATCAGCTCGGCTTTGGATACGAATCCTGAATGGGCTGACGCCTACGAGAACGGCATCGGGGAGATTCTGAAGACAATTATCTACCCTGGAGGATTTGCCAAGTTTCTCTTGGTTCTTCTGGTTTTGTCTGGAAGTATGTGATATCCTTTTGACGGACTCCGTTCAGCTCCAGCATGACTTCTCACTAACATGCCTCTTTAGTTGGCGTCAATTGCATTGCTATCTACTCAGGTGCGCTCTCTGCGCAGCTTTTTGCCAAGCCCTTTGCAAAAGTCCCACGGATAGTCTGGTCGTTCATCGTGTTCGTCTGCATTCTCCTTCTCGGTATCGCCGGTCGAGACCACCTGTTGGACGTCCTCGAGAACTTCCTGTCACTGCTGGGCTACTGGAACACGTCTTTCTTCGTGATCTTGTTCACCGAGCACTATCTATTCCGTGGGGGTAGCCTCTCCAACTACGATCTTGATGCGTGGAATACGCCATCAAGAATGCCTGTCGGTTATGCGGGACTTACTGCTTTCCTTTGCGGTGCCGCTGGATGGATAGTCGGCATGGTCGAAACCTACTATGTAGGTGCTATTGCGAAGATGATAGGTCAAGATGGAGGAGACGTTGCCAACGAGTTAGCGTTCGTCTTCACCTCGGTTGCCTATATCCCTCTAAGGAAACTGGAACTCAAATACGTTGGGAGGTAGATGGGCTGACCTCCCGCAAATTGCTTGTATATTATCAACATCAATCATATTCTGAACTAAGTCCCTGGTTGCTATAGTACCTTGGGAAGGATTGATCAAGTCCATTACCAAAACAAGACCGGAAGTCATGAGTCGGTGTATACTGCGGACTTGTATCCAAGTCTGGAGGCGTGAGCTGGCAGGATTCTTAAGGTGTCGTCTTCAGCTCAGTCACCAGTATTGCCTTCCCTGCAAGCTCAGGCCTATGGCATAGGTGGCGTCACCGAGTTCAAGAAGATACCAGTCCGTGCAAGCCAGAGCAGTCACGATGACAACACGACGGTGAATGCGGTTCGGTTCTATGTGATGCAACTCACCTGAGGGGATCAGTCTGAGGTTGAAGATCCAGTGCAGGATGACTGTATATGTAAAGATCCCGGCTTTCGGGAACAAACCTGCAGGACTTGCCATGAGGTTGCAGAGAACGCAGCCGATGCGCCCATCCTACCATATTGCCCTTTCCTTTTCCCTGCTTGAGAGCGTGGCAGATCTTTCAATGACGTTGACTTAGGAGATCACCAATATCCAGGGCATATTTATCACCTCCCGCTCGACAAGTATGACCTGGTAATAGGCCCAGAACAAGTTCAATACTGGGCGTAAGCTGACGATGACGATGACGGTAAGGTTCCTTAAGATGGTTGATGCAAAGCTAGGCCAATGGGATTAGAAGGGTGTCCGCCGTTGTGTCCTTCCTGGTAACCTAGTGAGTATAAAACTACCTATTATTTACTACTCCGTAGTAGCTTACCGATAAATACTCCTTAGATACATGACGACCTGGCAATCTGTAGAATGTGAGGTGTTCTGTCATTCTATTGAACAGGAACGTGGCCAGGACTGGCCCTCTTTAAGGCAGTCGAAGACAAAAATTGAGGTTCTATAGCTTTCAACACTCAAAACAGGGAGCATCCATCATCAATACCAATTATTCATAATTCTAACACAGGAGCTAGAGACAATGACTATTGGAGTGAGATAGAACGAGCGAATCCGAGAGAGACACGGGTATGCTAATGCTGTGGTCCAACCTGTGACTGGGATACAAGCATAGACGCAAGGGGAAGTGTTTTCACACATCCGGACGATTCAAAACGCTGGTGTACCTGCAGAAGGGAAAGCCGTACCTATGTACTCCGTAACTGCCTAGGATATTCCTTGGGAGTGTCTATTCGACTGCTTGCCTGTTCTCGGCCTTTAGATGACTATCGAGATAAAGGAGAAAAACAGTGGTCAATGACGGAAAGCGGGAGAGGTCTGAGCACCCTCGATTTTGTCCTACAGATGGGTTAGAATTTGGCCGAGTTTGATTGTACGGAATTTCTGACTTTCTCCTGTCATATCAGCCTGTCAATTAATTAGTAGATATTTTCTGACAGCTCTGGCAGATTTTTGCCACGACGTGATGTTACTTTCCTTCAAGGTCAAAGGGGAAAAAAAAGGGAAAATAAGAAAAAGGATACGGAGTTGACTCCGCAGTTCATATTGACTCAGGACCATGTCTCAGTCTCTCAGACATTCTAAAGTATATCACCACACCAAACTAAGCAAGAAAATTCTCATCATCGTCATCGCCGTTCTGGTTGTCTGTGGCTACTATCTCTCGTCGAAACCAGTATTGAGTTATTCTCTGGAGAACCGGCTTCGCACGCTATCTTCCGTCTCTTGTGGTTGTTCTCCCTCAAACATACCTTATTGACAACAGCCCGATTTTCAATGGTATCAGACTGTAACATCTGGTCGAACAGCGTATCCAGGTACGCCGTCAGCAGTCAACAACTCAATGGGCCTGAAAGCCCTGACAGTACTCTGTACACCACACCCATCACGTCTCACTCTTCAAAGGACGGTAGCTCCCTGGTTGGAAGGCGGGGTACGAAGTACAGTCTGTGGCTTTTGTGCCCAGCTTCGATCTAACGTCCTAAAAGGAAGAATGAGACATCACCCATGGTCCATGATTTGTCTACCAACCTACCCCTACTCCCTTACCGAGTATCACAATGATAATTTCTGATGCGGATGCAGTAATTGGCTACTGCCGAAACAAAAGTACATCTCTGGATACCTAAAAGAAAGAACCTAGTTTAAACTTCTAGAACCAGTTATAGTTCTGTTCTGTAACATGCGAAGTCTTTATGTGAGGATATCAAGCCAAGCGTTTCCCTCGATGGGTCAAGCAAGTGGCTGCCATACTGAGAAGTTCACCTATTTCATCCCGTCACCGTATGGGGTGACTTTTCCAGGTCGGCTATTTGATACAACAATTATCAAACTACCATGTAGATACCTTAGAAGAGCACTGATAGATAACACCGCAAGAAATGATAAAATAACTAATTCATTTCAGACATCTACAGGACCCTACGGTGTAGAAATTGTATCCCGGCTGCTGTGATGGTCCAGCCAGTCAAGGCAATTTAATTCAATCACTGGCTCCAAACTTCGAGAATCAGGATCAAGAATAATAATAATAAGAATTTTCTGCTCATCTATCCCCAACTTTTACCGCATTGTCACTTGGCTGGAACTTGGTCTGCATCGTCATAATCATCACCATCACCATCATCTATCCATCCATCATCCAACCCCCTGTCGTTGTTGGATGATTGTTATTCCTTCTCATCATCCCCCTGGTGCACTACTGCAGATCGGTGTGCTGAGCTGTCGGGCTTATGCATTTTTCCTGCAACCTGGTGGTTTGATCTCTCACACTCGCCTTGCATTTACCACCTATTCTCCTCACCCACCTCAGATGATAGATACGTATCACTGCTTCTTCTGCTTCTGCCCTTGTAACCAAAGTCGGATTTCTGTCACCGCCTATGTTGGTCTTTTTGCTGTGACTGATCCAGCGGCTCTCCACGTGCTAACCACTGGTTATTGTGGTCACGGCTAGCCCACCGCGGCAGCGTCTTTCGCTATCTGGGTTTTCATCCCGTCCCGCAAATCACTCGATCTTTGCAGCAACACAGCGGTATACCTTTTTGCCCCCCTAATTTTTCCAGAAAGGTCAATCAATAATCATACCCATCAAGATCCATCTACATATCCCTTGCACAAACCAGCGACCGCCAAAAAAAGATACAGAAGGGATACCCAGGAGCACCGCCTCACGGTGGCTTTCCCCCACCTTCTCCCAATCGAGCCACTCAGGCATACCTGTCACCCACCTTGTCACTACACATCAATTCGCCGAAACCCCCCTCCTAATCGTACATCATGAGCAACGACGGGTTCTCGTCCTTAAAGTTCAGACGAACGTCTAGCAAGCTGCAAAAAGATCCTCCTAGCTTCTCTTCCCGTATCCTTAGAAGTCAGCAGAGCAACACGTCACTCAAACGACACCCCTCGGCACCTGTCTATCCCCGTTCCTCTGTCAGTGGAAGTCGTGAACATTCGCGCACCAGATCCAACGCATACGGCTCCTCTTCCTCCTCTCTTGAGCAACACAGTGGGGGTCCGTCTCCTGTCCTTGCTGGCGGCGACTCCAACTATCCCTTTTCGAACTCGTACACGTCGGCCAAGTCCCGCCCGGGGCGGTTTTCTTTCAATACCGACCCCAGCTCTGATGAATTGACCAGTTCCCCCTTTGATTCACGGGGTATGCTCAGTGCATTGGAAGAGAACACTGCAGAGTCCGAGAAAAGTCCCCCGCGGCAACCGCCGACGTTACGATCCTACCACACCAGCCCCGATTCCCGCGGACTCAGACAGTCGGCGAGTTTCACCGCTTTACAGAACCGTATGGACGCCTTCACTCAGAGAAGCGAGAATGATCCATCAGCGAACACGAAGAGGCACTCGGACGAGGCAAATGGAACAAAGGTCTTTGGGCGGAGTAAGAAGAGCAGCTTCTCGAGCTTTGTCAACAGCATGTTAGGGTCTCCCCGAGGTATCAAGATCTCCGCCCCCGAAAACCCCGTTCATGTCACCCATGTGGGCTACGACAACCGGACCGGCCAGTTCACGGGCTTGCCGAAAGAATGGCAACGACTCCTGCAAGAAAACGGTATCTCCAAGAAGGAGCAGGAGGAGCACCCTCAAACCATGGTCGACATTATGCGATTTTACGAGAAAAACGCCCGCGGAGATGACGAAGTTTGGCACAAGTTCGACCACGCCTATGCTCATCATCAACCCACGGCGAACACACCGGGGCCCCAGCGAAACTCGCCTCCAACGAGTCCTCGGTTCCCGCAGAACCACGAAGGCAGTTTTGAGAATCCACGCGCGCCTCCTCCAATACCCCGTGGTGCTCCCGCAGCCACTCAGGCGATGTCCCCCCCAATCGGTGGCCTTGTTCCCAACCGAGCACCTCCGAAGCCTCCTGCTCCGGCCAACATGACACCTGCCCGACCGGCACCGCAGCCCCCAGTGGCACGGCCACCTCAGGACGCATATGCCAACCAATTTGGCACGCCTCCCATCCCAGAATCTGAGCCGTTGCCGTCCGAGGCGCAGCGCAGCCGGTCGAATTCGAAGACGAACGGTGCGCAACCCCAATGGGCGCAGCCCAGTGCCGTTGCTTCGCCAGCTCAGTATCAGCAGCAGCAGGAGCAAGCGATGGCTGCCGCTCAACAAGCGATCGTACAGAAGCAATTGGAGCGCAGCCGAAGCCAACGCCAACAGCAGGCTCGCGTACCAGAACCCAAACAGCCCACGCAACCTGGACATTTGCAGCACTCCGATGATCATTCTACTGCGTTGCAAGGCCCTCAGAAGGCGCAGCCTGTTCCAGCAGCTCGTCCTCGACAGCGCGCTCGTCAGAGTAATGTTGTGGATGTAAGGGCGCGGTTGCTTGCCATCTGTTCCCCAGGTGATCCGACGAAGCTCTACTATAACCTAAACAAGATCGGTCAAGGAGCATCGGGCGGCGTTTACACTGCTTATCAACATGGCACAAACAACTGCGTCGCGATCAAGCAAATGAACCTGGACTTACAACCAAAGAAGGAGCTTAT